CCGTATCTTTTGAGAGTTCCCTTTGCTTAGTTACAGAAAATAACACTTCATAACAATTAGTGAGATACATACTTGCAGACTGAGAAATACATGTCTGCCTCTTTCTCCCCTTGTGGCCGGTTAGTTCTGTAACAATCTGAAAGTCTCTTTTAACCACAGTGAGTCCATTTTGTCTGTCCTGTGACTTACATTTTAACAGATTCTTGAGTATGGAAACAAAAGTGAGAGTACTGAATAGAAAAAAAAAAAGAAAAGAAAAGAAAAGATACAAAGTGGCTGTAGGTTGAGAACTCATCGGTAAAGAAACTCTGGAAATCCTAGCATCGCGTGTAATGGTTACTTGGAGAAATCACAGTTCAGTCTGAATCAGGAGCTACACATACATACTGTATATGTAAAACTTCAGTAGTCTCCTTCTAAAATGCCATGATGATTCGCCACTCTTTTCTAAGCCAAATGAGAACGTTAAGTCTGAACTTTGATCTTCCTGTCTTATTTGGAAAGCCTGTGGTGTGGGGCAACTGTTATAAAGTGGAACCAGTAAAGAAAAGGCTATGAGATAGTCAATGCCTGGCACCCTTTAGTTGAAGATTTTCTAAGTGAGAAAGAGTAAAACTTCCTAAAATTCCATCTTTCTTATCAATTATATTGTTTCTCTTAACCTATTTTGGTTAGTCACCCAAAGGAGCTCCTGTGTTCATGATTTTTTGATAAGGAAATAAAAAATAATACCATTGAATGGAAAATCTTGACATAGAAGTGATTTTATTCTAGGAACTACTTAAAATGGATAACAAGGCAGCAAACATTTGTTACATGTACATCGTTATAACATATTATGAAAATATAAATTTTAGATTATTAAGAAAAAAATATAGATGCATCTTTGCCATTAAGATTCTGTCATTAATGTAGAATCTAGCCTCAATTTATCATTATATATCTCTGAAACTATTGCCCTTTTCTTATTAACTGAATTTCATGACCACAATGGTGTTTGGGTGTGGAATTTTTTGGCCAATCCAGCATGCAGCTGTCGAGATAGATTTTGTCTAGCTCCTTGCCTGTGTGTTTTGTTGCCAATGCACCTCTGATCGGTAAGCCAATAATTAGTGGACCTTCCCTCCAATAGCACTTTCTACAATGATGGAAGTGTTTTATATCTGCACTGTCCCATATGGTAGCCACTAGCTACCTGTGACAACTCAGTACTTGAAATATGGCTAGTACACCTAAGGAACTTGTTTTGAAAATGATTTAATTTTTAATGATTTAAATAGATGTGACTACTTGTGTGGCTACCATATTGGACTGTACAGTTGTAGTCTTTTCTGGAGGAAAAAGAAAGGCTGAAATGCCTTTGCCTCCTTCCCAAAGCAATTGATTCCTGTTTTGATGTTTTTGCTTTGGTTTATTAGGTCGACTGGATTTTAGTTTTCATCCTTTGCTCTTTGGGAGTAATCCCTGGCCACTTATGAAGAACTTTCTAGTAGGCATAGGAAAACAATTATGTTAAAATCTATTGCCATTTCATTGAAAATTAAGAAAAAGTTAAGTGAGCATACACATTTATCCATTATAAATCATTCTTAGTGAAATTTTGTCTTTCTCACTCTGCATGTTTCCTCGGTGAAACTTATTTAAACTTATTTAGAACTAACGGGAGTTATCTCCCTAATCAGAAATGGAAGTAATGCATTTGAGAACAGGCTCAATGATAGTCATTATGTAACATCTTGAAGATAGTTTTTTCTACAGGAAATACAGATGTTTAGAAGAAGAGTCAGTGATCCTGTAAAATACATTTTACAGATTGTACAAGTTAAATAGAAATTAGTTTCAGTAATTAAATTCTAATTTTCTTCCAGTTTCTCATGTAGCATTGCTTGGTGTTAGATCATTTAACGTTTTCAGGGAATATGTTACCCATAATGAAAGGTATATTTGGGAACATGATTACAGTTCCTATTATGTTTTCAGAAATATAAATCAAGGGCTGGCCAGTTAGCCCAGAGGGTTAGAGAGAGGTATTGATAACACCAAGGTCAATGATTCAGATCCCCACATGGGCCAGCCACCAAGAGCAGAACAAAACAAACAAACAAAAAGAAGAGAAAGAAAGAAAAAACAAAAACAAAACAAAAATGACAAGGAAAAAAAAAAAGAAATGTAAATCAAGTGGTTTTATTGAAAGTAAGTTTTAACTATCTCCAAAATGAGAATATTTGCTGGAGACCAGCTCCAGTCGAGTTGGGGGTCCTTGAAAAAGGGATGAGGAGACGGAGAAAATAACAAACACAGGCAGAGACCTTGGTTCCTCTGAAGCACGTTCTCAGCCTGCGGGCTGTCAGCGCTGTTGCAGCCAGAGCAGCTAAAGCAGCTGAAGCAGCCTTCAGACTGAAAACAGCATTTTTATTTGTTATACAACACGGGGGGGTTAATGTGGGCATTTTAACTACATAAACCTTTAAAATTGTTAAGCCAATAGTTAAACTTAATAATCTACAAAGTTAAATAAAACTCGGTGGTCAGCCAATTCTTTCTGGCGATTATATTTGTTGTGGTTGATTAGTCCGTGACTCGTTGTTCTTGATGTTTTTTACCATTTTGTTTCTTTTTTTCTTGCCCTCATAGGGGGGGTTAATGTGGGCATTTTAACTACATAAACCTTTAAAATTATTAAACCAATAGTTAAACGGAAACTTTTCTTAAAATTACATCAGTTCTCATAAAATTAATAATCTACAAGTTTAAATAAAACTCAGTCATCAACCAATTCTTTCTGGTGATTATATCCATTGTGGTTGATTAGTCCGTGACTCACTGTTCTTGACGTTTTTCACCATTGTGTTTCTTTTTATTCTTGTCCTCATATTAACCTTAAACTTATTACTACCAGCAAGCATAAATTATATGTCTGACTCAAAATTGAGACGGCAGCGATTGCGGTTTTAAAGTGTTAAACAAACCTTATATATATTTTTAACTTTGATTTAATGATTCTCATATTTCTGTAGGCATGAACCCATTGTTCATTTGGAAAAGGAATAAAAGATATTTGAATAAAAGATTATCATGAACAAGTGTTGGATTTTATCAAATGCTTTTTCTGCATCTATTGAAATGATCATATGGTTTTACTTTACTCTGTTGATGTAGTGTATCATGTTTATAGATTTGCATATGTTGAACCATCCTTGCATCCCTGGGATAAATCCCATTGTCTGATCTTTTTAATGTGTTGCTGGATTCTGTTTGCTAGTATTTTACTGAGGATCTTCTGTCTGTGTTCATTAGGGATATCAGTCTGTAGTTTTCTTTTTCTTTTCTACTGCTTTGACTCTAGCCCTTGCTTCATTACTTTCCATCCCTCTAGGATTTGCCTCAAATCCACTTCCAATTTCTTGAGTCAGAAAGGTGTTCTGACTGCCTCCAATGGCAACATTCTTATTCTAGTTCTGTGTTCCCTGTCTAAATTCTACCTATATTGTGAAGCCTTCCTCCTTTCTGATTGTTGTTGATCTCTTTGTTCTGCTATCTTGTAGAACTTGTATAATTATTTTTTTGCCCCATAATTTTGCAATTAATCATGATCAGTTTTCTGTATTTAGTTGTTTTTGTCCAATCATATTGTATATACTATGAGATACCAACTGCCTATTACAGATATAGGAAAAATCAAAGCGTTTTTTTCTCTCTACCCACACACCACACTTCACTTCTGACACCAGATATGTGGGAGCTTTTTTCCCACACACCAAGCAATTCTGCAGCAGACATCGGCTGGGTATCCTGTAATTCATCACAATTCTGACATTGTCTACATGGAATTGGCTTCAGATCCCACATGTTGAGGGCTCAGTCCCACAAGACCGTCTCTCACTTTTAGATGTCAATAGAAATACCCAGGTTGTGGTCTGTGCTTCTGAGGACTGGCAATAAATTGGGGTTCCTCAAATCCTCTCCGGTTTGATTAATTTGCTAGGGTGTCTCACAGAATTCAGGAAACACTTTACTTGTATTTACGTATTTATTACAAAGGATGTTATGAAGGATACAGATGAGCAGTCAGACAGAAGAGATGCACAGGGCAAGGTATGAGGAGCACAAAGCCTTCACGCCCTCTCTGGGTATGTCATCCTCCAGGAACTTCCACGTATTCAGCTACCCAGAAGCTCCCCAAACCTGTCTTTTTGGCTTTTTATGGAGGCTTCATTACATAGACATTATTGATTATATCATTGGCCTTTGGTGATCAACTTAACTGTTAGCCCTGTAGATTGGAGATGGTGTTGCATGTCCCAACTCTCTAATCATGCTTTGGTCTTTCTGGCGACCAGCCCCATCTTGAAGCTATGGGGAGGGAGGGCCACTAGTCATCTCATCAGCATACAAAAGACACTCTTATCACTCCTGAGATTCCAAGGATTTTAGGAGCTGTATGCCAGGAAATGGGAAAAAGACAAAATATATATTTCACAATATCACGCTTCCTTTTTAAATTGATAGTGCCTTGCACAGATGGGAAAAACACACAGTTGACCCTTGAAGAATGAGGAAGGTTAGGTGTGTTGACCGAATCCCCCACCCCCCACTGCTGTTCACATTTGAAAATCTGCATATAACAATATTTAAGTACATAAGTACATTCTGTGATTTCTCTGGGTTGTGGCTCTGCTGTAGTGTGCTTGGACTTCCATGGGGGTGAGGGGCTGGGTGGATGTGGCTCTGGGCATTACTTTAGTTGTTAACTATTTAACTACTAATAGCCTACTAATAGCTTACTGTTTGGTTAAGTATGTCATACATTCATGACATACCTAACCAAATTTATTCCAATATGTTTATTGAAAAAAACCTGCAAATAAGAGGATCTGTGCAATTCAAACCCATCTTGTTCAAGGGTTTGCTATAACTGCACCCAAAAGATGTGTATTTCTTAATTGTTGAATGGACCTCAAAGTAACAATAACAGACCTAGGGAAGACTGAGTCACTAACCTTATCTTTCACATTTCCATGTTAACTTCAATAGTTTATTTGTATCACATCAGTAGTTTTCGATTTCATTATGTAAGTACTTTTTTCCACAATATGTAGCATATTACCGCTTACATTTAAAACCATATTTTATAACAAAATCTGGTAATTATCTTTGAAAAATTTATAGAGTTGTTATTTTTAAAGCATTGTCTAAGTTAGTTCACTCCAATTTAGAAATTACATTATGTGAGTGAGTTATGCAACATTTTACAAAATAGGCTAAAGCAATTTGTCATCTTTAAGGTGATACATACAGTGGCTGCTAAATTTTCAAATGCTTATACTGGTCAGGCTTACAAATAAAAGTCAGAATAAGTGGAGGGGGATATATATGTATACTGTATGAGTTTAAGGTTTTGTTTAAAACCCACTGTTTTTTATTATCCTGACATCAGACGTAAATTTCTATTGATTCCTTTATCTGTTTCCTTATGAGGAAAATTTTTTAAGGTTGAAGATCAGCACAGGAGTCCTGGTTCAATTTGAGCATATTCAGTGTATAGCTGACATCTCCGAAAGCACCTGCTGCCACGTGGAAATCAAAGGGTCAGACAGAGTCTTCTTTTCTCCTTAATGTTATTTTTGTATGAAAATTATAAGTATTAATTTGGCTTCTATGGTATAAGGAAAGAGTGTATGTCTGTCATTAATTAGTCCATGTCAACATTGCCATAAAAAAGGAAATATTTCTCAAGATGATTGATGAAGTAAGTCTGTAATGACCAGAATTACTTCACTAAGTATGAAACTGATATTAACCACATGCTCGTTATATCATCATAACTCTTTTTTAACATGTGCCAGGTGACATAGTTATTAGCATGTTTTTTTTATCAGTAAAACTTGGGAAAAAAATTTTATCTATGAAATTTCTAAGAAATTTTAAATATCTAGAAACATCTCAAATTTCAGAAAAATTAAATAACACATAACCAGTGTTATTTATAAGTAGGGTGTGTAATGTGAATAGAATATGCAAGTGTGACGATTGTCATGATCCAGTTTCATTTGTAAATGTCTAGATAGTATTATGCACAGCTGTATTTTAAATATTGTAGTATTTATTTTGTCATTCTTTGTCATAGTTTAGCATATAATGGAGTATTAATATGAACAGCAAAAGTTGCATAGTGCCTACTATGTGTCAGGCATTGTTTTAAGTATTTTATGTATATGAATTTAGCTAATCCACAATAATCTTGTGAGATAGGTACTGTTATTATCCCCATTAAGGTATAGACAGACACATGATGACAGCAAGGTCTGATTTTGAAACCTAGCTCCATTTTTGAGTACCTTTGGGCAGTTATGCAACCATTTTGAGCCTTAGTTTCTTTCTTTGTGAAATGGCAGCAACACTTTTTATTTCTGTAGAAAATAAATGATGGGCCTAGAGATAGATACCTAGGCACTCAGTAAATTTAGCCCACCTTCCTGTTTCAGTGGAATGACTATGAAAAATAGATACAGTGTTTAATTTTACATAATATACTTTTCTATACAGTATTCTGTGAGATCTTTGAAAGCATAAGGTGTTTGAAACATAGTAGCTACTCAATAAATGTTTTTTGGGTAAAAATACAGAAACACAGAGAAATTTGCCTGAGAATTCTAAATACACTAGTGGTGAAAAATATTGTAAATTGTTGCTTAGGTAATTAGAAGCATTAGCATTATCTGATTAATTGCTGGTGGTGATTAAATCACTTTAAAGAGAAAGTCCTTAGGATTTTCTTTGAGAATTTCCTACCAGAGGCTTAAGAGCAACAAATCAGACCCAGCTGACAGGAAACATGTCTCGAGTCTGAAAATAATGTTGGTCATTTCCAAGAGATATAGGCGAGATTTTTAATTCTCTAGGCTTTGTAGGGAAGGGCTGTTTTCATGGCCACTTATAATTCATTTTGCCAACCTTACCACTAATAGTGTATTAAGATACTCAAGTCTTAATGTAGCATTTATTTTTTATTCTTAATATTATATATATATGTTTAATTCTTTTAAATCATTGATGAGAAATTGTGAAGACATGTATTTTACTTTTGTAAAAATAAAGAATTAAGGGCCGGCCCGGTGGCGCACTGCTACAGTGCCCCGCTTGGGAGCATGGTGGCGCTCCCGCCGAGGGTTCGGATCCCACACACAGACCGGTTCCCGCTCACTGGCTGAGCGAGGTGTGGGCGCAGCGCCAAGGGTTGTGATCCCGTTGCCAGTCCCGGTCCGGTACGGGCGCGACACTGAGGGTTGCGATCTGTTGCCGGACACGAAAAATAAAAATAAAAAATAAAGAATTAATACCTTACTACCTAAAAGAATGCCATGTTCTCATTGCTTTGGCTAATGAAAAGCAAGTTTATTGATGATGATGTTGATGGTTGTTGGTGGTGGCAGTGATGATGATGATAATGGTGGTGAAATGAGATTGAAAACCCTAAGTAAAAACAGATTACTTCTCCCCAAAACCTAAAATTGGACTCTGAATTTGGTTGCGATCCCGTTGCCGGTCCCGGTCCGGTACGGGCGTGACACTGAGGGTTGCGATCTGTTGCCGGACACGAAAAATAAAAATAAAAAATAAAGAATTAATACCTTACTACCTAAAAGAATGCCATGTTCTCATTGCTTTGGCTAATGAAAAGCAAGTTTATTGATGATGATGTTGATGGTTGTTGGTGGTGGCAGTGATGATGATGATAATGGTGGTGAAATGAGATTGAAAACCCTAAGTAAAAACAGATTACTTCTCCCCAAAACCTAAAATTGGACTCTGAATTTCTAAATCCAACTCTAGTACTGTTTTCCAGTTAAAAAGGGGTTTTAACATGGTAAAGCAGGAGACTCAGATTTGGTTTGTACATGGGCAAATGATGTCACTTTATTGATGAATTTGGATTATGATTCTTCAATGCCACATACTTTAATTAAAAACTACTTTACTAAAATAAGAGTTTATTCTAGGAATTAAAAAGTTAACAGTTGAAACAATTACAGTGAGGTCTATTACATTCTTATTTAATTTAATAAGGTAAAATCTGATTCATTTTGACCATCTTTACTCAACTGTCATTTGGTGGAAATCCAATTTTGCTTCTCTATGTTTGTTCGTGTCCTTTCCGGTGATCTTATCATCAGCAGGAATATTCTTTCCAGGGCAGTGGTAAATTTCTCACCTCCTGTGGGATGATGTCATTCCATCTGTGTGCTGCACACACTTATTTCATGACCCTGAGCAGTACCCTATATCCAAGCTTTATGTGTTCAGTGACCTCTTAGCTCTCCGCATTCTGGTTTGGGTAACAGACGTTTATTTTCACTTTGATATCTGAACTACAGAGCTCACCAGTGGGATTCTTGCTGGGAGAGATGCCAGGTCAATTCTGGCAGACTCCATTGGAAGGCACCAATTATAGACAAAAATCCCAAGAGTTGCCTGAATCTTTGCAGCAATCCCATGTCAATATGAGCTAGACATGGGAAACATTTTATTTTGGGGAGGTGGGACTGAAGAAATGTGGGTATTCTATGAATTCCAAAGAGAAGGACTCATTCCCCCATCCCCCCCACCCCGAAGATTATCTGCAACACTCCTACAGCATATGTCCTCTTTCAGCATTTCAGAATTGATGGACTCCAGATGGAATCACAATTTGAACTTACTGGTCATGGCCAGTCTGCCCTTGACTTCATGCATTTTTCTAGCCCTGAGCGTTCACCAAGAAGAATCCATGGAGTAACGAGACTATCAACCAAGTCCACAGGCCGGAAACACCCTTCAACCATTAACTTCAAAGACTAGATCATAATTTGAAAAACACAATGTAAACAGGAAAAAAAGTCAGTGTGTGGGGGGGTGGTGACGATTGTAAACTGCTAGCAATTAGGCACTAATTAGTTTCCTTCTGTTGTGTAGCTGCTGCAATCCAGCAGTACCACTTGTATATCTTTCAAATGCATAGGGATTCCTCAGACTAATTTTTCTTTGTGAAATTAAGCCACAATATGCAGACTAACTTAAAAATAGGTCATAAACACATCCAGATCTAATTGGCTGACTGAAAAATTTCTCAATTTCATTTATAGTAAAAACCCAATTAAATGGAAAGTAGACAGCATGTCTGTTTGGTTCATCAGGGTATCACTAAGGGGTTAGCACCAGTGCCTGGCACACAATAGTGAGAAAAACAGATGTTATCAAAATTTCTCAATTTCATTTATAGTAAAAACCCAATTAAATGGAAAGTAGACAGCATGTCTGGTTCATCAGGGTATCACTAAGGGGTTAGCCCAGTGCCTGGCACACAATAGTGAGAAAAACAGATGTTATTGAAGGAATTTATTTATTTCTGTTAACACTCATAGAAGGTGTTTCAAGCACTGTGGAAATGAATTCATTTTCATTTATCTTATTGAGTAGGGGATATTTACATTAAGAATTATTTAGTATTTCTTTGACAGTACCTTCTTTGAAGATTAATTCTTACTGTGTAGTAATATAGATGTAAAACATGTAATTGATTAAATCAAATATATCGATATTTTAGAATTACCCCAGAGAATTGCTTTCTTTTGGCAGTAAATTCCTGGTTTAATGTTTCATTTTCAAAAGTCTTTTTTCCTGCCATGGAAGTGGAATGCAATAAAAGTTTGAAAAATTGATACTTCTTGTGGAGTTCCTGTCGATTTGCAGGCATGAGTCAAATGAGCAGTTTAGCAGGACCTTGAGAGGGACTGGCAGATATTACAATTCAGAGCCAAGTTACAGTTTAGGAATGGCCTGCATTCCATCAACAGTTTTAAGTGACTTTTATATACAAGCCACTACAGGCTATGCAAGGGATGTTAAATGCTGTAAAATTTAATAGAATATGGAATCATATGAAAGACATGGTCTCTGACCTCAACAAAGTTATAATCTGATAAATAAAAAGAGAGAAATCAGTTCAAACAAAGCAGACAGCATAGTCAGGACAGGTTGTAGCTCCAAATCTGCATTCCCTGTCTATAAAGAGCCAAAGGCCTGATCTAGAGACTGCCTGGAAACAGATTTATATGGGAAGTTCCAGATTAACAGCCAGAAACTGGAGGTCAGCTGCTAGGAACAGGGTAGCTAGTGGCGTCATGGTAACCAGTGGGAGATACAGAAATATAGCAGCAGGGTCAAATTCACTTAACATTCAGAGGGTTTACTTCCCTTGCTTTTATTACTTTGGTTTCTTTCCTTCACTTATAGGGCCAAATAAAGGTGTGGTGGTGAAAAACCTGCAAATATGTTAACAGAGGAAGCTCCTAACATCAAGATAAATTGGCATTCACTAAATATGTTTTGTTTTTGTTTTGTTTTTTAAATTTTCAGAACCGCCCAAAGTTACTGTGATGCCTAAGAATCAGTCTTTCACAGGAGGGTCTGAGGTCTCCATCGTGTGTTCTGCAACAGGTTATCCCAAACCAAAGATTGCCTGGACCATTAACGATATGTTTATCGTGGGTTCACACAGGTACTGGGTTTGTATCATGTTCTTTGTTTTTATTGAGTGAGAAAAGTTGATGAAACTTCTGGACCAAACTAATCTGACCAAATCCCTAAGATTAAGGGAGGTTTGATCCAAATCCACAGCTTTAAAAATTTTTAAAACAGGTTTGGAAATGTCAAAGAAATATATATAAATGATGAATTTATACAGTTGAGATTATTAAGTCTTGAATTCAATAGCAAGGGCCAAGTGCTGCCCAATACTTTGAATTGCAAACATAGCTCCATAACACTTGGTTTAACTTGAGTAATTGAAATAGTGATAATAAACCATCTGTGCAGTAAAATAATATATAGTTTTAACAAATCTACTAAAGGCACTGTCCTGGATTTAAGAGAAGAGACAGGGAGAGGCAGAGGATAGAACAGTAGCTCTAATGGAAGTGTATGCAGACATTCTTTGTAACTACTTCTACCCTTGCCATACTCCATTGAGAGGTCTTTTATTCTACTGGATGTCTTTTAAAGACATTGAATCTTCTCATGCTCAGAGAATGTAATAAACACGTGGAACCTAAACAACAAAGTTTCCAGCCATGGGGCTTCCACTGTGCTGGATCTGTCATGAAGAGGAGGGCTTAGGTATGATCTGGCGAGTTGAGCCAGGTTCCATCCCCAGACTCATCCCTGACTCACCATGTGACATGAGCCATTGTGTTTCTCAGGTATTCATTTTAAGGAATCATCTGGCATAGCAATTCACCACACAGAGCGAAATTGCCTGGGTGCAAATTCCAGTTTTTCTGTTTACTAACTCTGACTTTGGGCAAGTTACATAACCTCTTTGTTCATCTGTAAAACAGAAATAGTATCTAACTCACTGGGTTGTTAAGAAAATTAAGACTATTAATAAAGGTAAAGGTCCTAGAGTAGTCCCTGGCACGTAGCCAATACTGAATACATAGTATCTGATATTATTATTATTACCTTTCTGCTTGTAAAATAATGGTGTTAATCATCTCAGCAGTCAGCACCAAAAATATAACTCTAAATAAAAATATTTGAAAATATTTGGAAGGAAGATGCTATAGTATCTTGATACTACTGTTTTAATATTTTCAATTTATTTTCTTTTTACTTTTTATCCATAGGTATAGGATGACCTCAGAAGGTACTTTAATTATCAAAAATGCAGTTCCCAAAGATTCAGGGATCTATGGATGTCTGGCAAGTAATTCAGCTGGAACAGATAAACAGACCTCTATGCTCAGATACATTGGCAAGTATAATCAGTTTAAAAGGCAATTAAAATAGGATGAGTATCATATCAAGTAATGTAAAAGTACTTTACTGAAAATTAATATTAGGAATAAGTTATACCTTGTATTACAGTTTATTATTATTTTCACACATTCATTAAGGCAAATATTATAACTAATTTTTAAAAGTCCAGGGAGTGAATAGCTTCATTAGTCAACAGAATCGAGGAAGCTTCCAGATTGCCCACAAAGTTCTCTCATTCCACGGTTCATTCATCCTCTGCAGTATTTCACTTTCAAATTAATACATTCTATATCCTTTCTAGCTTACCTCAAATTTCCATTTTATATTTTTTACTTACACTCAAAACTGTGTATAATATTATTTTCTCTTTTCATTTTCAATTTTTTTCACCTCCAAACTTAAACATTTATTGATGGTGTACTTCATGACAATTATTCTGTAGAATATTTCTATTTAATTTGCTCTTTTTGGTCAAATAAAAGGATCAAGGTATCATATGCTCAGTGTCAGGTTGCAAGTTGTGAATAATTAATGGCTGGCAATCCACCTTGTCACTCACTCTCATTCAGCCTCACTCATGGTAAGACAGTGAACTGGAG